CATTCATGAAAGCGTAAAGGAGACCAGCATTCTAATCGCTACAGTCTTTTCTTATTTTCCTTTCTAATGCAAAATTGAGGATATGCTTCTCTTCCATTTTAGTGTTTTTGTCACTCAATGTGATGCTAAATGCAACTATTTCCGTCAAAAGAATGAACTATTTAATCAAAGTTGTAAATATTCTTTCAGAAAAGATTTGGTATGGGCGTATTAATTCAGTCATAAGGAAAGTATTTCACTCATTTATCGATGAGCGAGTATATCATAAACATGCTCCATGTATTTCCCTTGAAACATGCATAACAGGAAAAAAGATCTGCTTCATGGTCGCGTAACATTCTACTTCGCCGCTGTCGTTGCAATTGATTCCATTCGATGGTGCGCCGGACTCGTAGTCGAAGGACTGTTTGTTCTGATCTAAGTCAGGTCATTCGCCTTCCACGTTCTGAAAGAAATGAATAGATCCCACAGCGTTTAGAAAAAAAAGAGTAATACCGGTCTATTTGTCACCCAGATGTAGATATTACCCTGACCTTTTAAACAGAGATCAACACTGTACCGTAAATTTTATGAGTTTCTCTAACGTTAAAAAGAAATTTCGATAATTACAAACTTTTTTCATAAAGCAATTTTTTCTACCAATATGACGACCGTTTAGGTAAAAACGTGATAAGTCCTTCTCGTTCGATCCATATTGCTGTTAACGGAGATCAATTCAGCCTGGTCATTTGCAGCCCTTTGAGTATCAGTCCATTATTGCAAAAGTCTATATGCATTTTGCCAATAATGCAATTCGACTGACTGATCGTCTTTCCTTTTTGCTTCATTAAAACGTACTTCATTTCTATGCCTCTTCCTGTTTCATAATTCCAAAGCTTGCTCCTTTACCGAAACTCCAACATTCATTCATTTTTCTAGTCCTTGCTGTATTCTTGACAACGCTTTGTCTTTCGACATTAGAGCTCAGACCTCACCTTCATAAACAGTCGATGGCAATACTGTGTTCATAAAATGAATTTCACGCTGCTGTTATTTGTATTACAGGAATACGGTAAACATATGCGACAAATCCGTCGAGTTCGGCTTTCCAACTATGCAATAAACTTACAATCACTTTTCTCATCATAATTCTTGTTAAACCAGCTTGTACACTTTTTAAATATACGAGTCGTCGCCTTTTGGATTTGTACGCTTGTTGGCTGGATACCTAAATCAGTCCACCGTCTACTCAGCGCTTACTTCTATCAAGTGTTCATAAAATATCAATCTTGTAGATAATAAAACCTCCCTTGGGCTTTTGTTCAGTAGCTCCTTACTGTCCATCTAAGCAACAAAACGTCGAAAAAATAAATACTAGTAGTACTATATGTAGCATCAAATAATGATCATGAGCTTTAAAGAAAAGAAAATACCTAAGCACGAGAGTGTCAAGGGAAGCAGTAATGCAGCTTAGAATGCCACAGCGTAGTGTTTTAATCTTAATGCGTTGTGGAAATTAGATTCCTATGACCATTCGTGCAGATTGAACTGTTCATCACATTGTCAGAAGATGCTACTCTAACTGATCTATTACTTAAGTGCGAAACAATGTACTTAGAAGCAAAGCCACCGCAAGAATCATTGTACTGCTAAGCACTGATTTGTATGGAACCGTTCAGATCCTTTGGGATTATAATTCCAGTAGACCAACAGATCAGCCCTACTACGCTTCTTCTACAGCATGAGAATCCCATAGAATGCAGTGAAGTACTTCATTTTATCTACTTTATTTTAAACCATTTCGCCTGTGCAATAAAACAACCGGTTTTTCAGGTGTGGTTTCAGAATCGACGAGCGAAGTTCCGGAAACAGGAGAAAATGAGACTCATCAGAGAAAGAGATGTTTCCAGCAAGGATGCAAAAGGTAGGAACCAATTCACGCATCTAGCTATTATTGTCATTTTCTTACAGATGCAACAGAAACATCTCAAGAGCAATCAGAAGTGAGCAGTACTATTGGTGCTGATGCTAACTGTTCAAAATTTTCTAAGGAAAGGTTGGCCAGTGACAATCATTCATGCTGAAAACAATTATTGCCACTAGCGATGTTCATTATAATTCTGAACTGTACAGCGTAATAAACCGATGGCGTTAAATTAAAAGCGGCGATACTGAAACGCTTATGGTCAACTTTGTCGCAGAGCTAATGCCCATATGATAGACTATGCTCGTTTACGTCTCAAACATACTAACGCTGGCACATTCAGAGTAGGTTGGTCATCGTTCAATGACTCTGAGGCCGGCAGAAGGTGAACACCGCTATTCAGTGTCAGATCTTAGCAAAACACTCACACTTAGTAGTTTAGAGAAATATCTTCCCACTTCAAATTGACGAAGACAGTTACCGAGCGCCATATCCTGTAATTTAAGTCCTCCAGAATACTGCCGTACTAAATAGGGTACCTGAACTACAGCTGCATATGCGACAAGGCAAGTTCATCTCCATCGTTTCTTATCCTTTAATGGCTCTCGTGATTTGGCTGCACTACTAGCAGCTTAAGCCGTTTTGATTCGTCACATCTATTGTATTTCAAGCTATTTTAAAATCTTTTACATGATAAGTTACTGCATAGTCGAACGAAATATTTCTTACTGATCAAATTCTGCCACATTATTATTTTATATGTACTTTATGCCGTTTGCTTGGTAGTCACAGAACTTGCTCAATGGGTTACATTCACTTTTAATAGACTATGCGGGTACTACGCATTTCTAAGTCTATGCAGGTCTATCTCAGCATGTACTACGCATTTT